TTTTATCTGCTCCTTCAAATTTTCTAACTGATCCCCTAACAGCTTACCCTAACTCTGCTAATTCATTTACTATCTTATTATCAATCTTATTTAGTTCAGTCCAAAGTTCTTCTAAATGCCTATGCCAGTCTCTAACAAATTCAGCAGTTTGGATTTCTTTATGAAGTGCTACTCCAGCTGTTGCTGTTGTAACTGTCAATGCAGTGATTCCCAGAATTACTGCAACAATCAGTCCAGCCATTCGACATGTTCTTTTTAATATTCTTTCCCAGAAATTTTGTACCAGGATCATCACAGGAGAGTCTTGCCATGGCCTTGACAATTTCACTAGTACCCAGATTGCTGGCCTTGTTCTAAGAATATATAAACTTTCAAAGGTCAAATTTAAAAACATACTTGAATTAACACAGGTATGAAGGGTACAGCATTCACAAGTGATGCTGTAATGAATATGGTGCCATTGTACAGACCCTTTTAGTAGCAAGGAAGGTAATGGTACACATGCCATAAAAGAATGGCTTTGATTTAGTCTAAAAGACAGAGCGTATTTATCATCCTTAATGTTTAATTTTCCTTCCCTCGCCTTAAGAGGGTAGAAGGCACTTTCCAATTTCCACACGTGAGTCTGAATTGAATTGCCAAATTGCAGGAGAGGACTTGCCATTCCAACTCCATGCTACCAAATAGGTTCATTAACAGAAGCACTGATTTCCATAGTTCCATTCAAATTATACCATTTCCATCTTAACTTGAGTGAGAATATTTTCCTTGAGAGGAGCCATAAGGACTCCAGTCAGTGATGTCTCCTTGGGAGATATTAGTTAGCACTCAAGGCCTCAGACTCTTACACTGTTGCCAAAGCACCCAGTCAGATTCCTTGTTGTTAACCCTCATCTCACAGAACAGTAGATTTATGGAACTAGTAGCATTAATCTCTGTCCTTTAAAACCAGATGCATGAAGCATATAAAACTTATGACAATAATCTTAGGTAGTATTGACTATGGATAGCCATACTTGAGAGGTTATATTTAGGCATTGAATTCCATTTCCCAATCAAATAGGAATTCCTTGTTCTCTAACAGCGAAATTGTCAAATCACTTTACCCTCCTCCATTGGCTGAGCAGGACCTCAGTTGTCAAGGACCAGGTAGCCAAGAAGATTCATTAACCACTACAGGGATATCCATATCTTCCCAACTTACTGCTAAGTTAATTGGAGGATTGGGGATAAAAGCCCAATAATTACGATCCATCCCTTTTAGCTGCACCATTACCACAGAAAGTATGACAAGAAATAAGTTTGTAGCATTTAAAGGCTTGTGAGTCATGCGAAATATCATCTCCCCTTTGTCACACAAACTCTCAAGCTGTCCCCAGGTTAGGGGCTTAGTTGTCTGCTCCAAAGGAATCCAGTGTCTTGACTTTGGCAGAGGCATCTCTCCATCTACAGCATCTTGGAGATGTCTCTTACTCATGCCGGATTTTTATCACTTTTGATGGTATCCACAATTTGTTATCTCCTGTAGAGACAGAAGCATAACCTTGACCCTAATTTAGCACTTTCCTGTAGCCGGAAGGTTTCTCTGGTCCCGCCTAGGCCCCAGGTCCTGCAGCCACTCATTCAATAATCATTCAGAGGCTTAATATTATTTATAAACTGTATGGCCTATGGCAGGCTTCTTGCTAGCTAGCTCTTTCATCTTAAATTAGCCCATTTCTATTGGTCAGTGTTTTGCCACAGAGCCGTGGCATTGCCGGTCTGCTGGCATCCTACTTCTCCTTGGGCGGCGGCTAGGCATCTCCTCCTACTCCCTTTTCTCCTTTCACTCTCTCTCCCGGATTTTCCCACCTGTCTCCATCCTGCCCTGCCATAGGCCAGTGCAGCTTTATTTATCAACCAACCAGAGCAACACATATTCACAGCGTACAGAAAGACATCCCACAGGACTGACCCTGGACTATTTTGATGTTAAAAGATTTATAATACATGGCCTTACTCAGTTTAGCAGTTTTCCACAATCCAGTTAAGAGTATTTTTTATAAAATCTTAAAAAGAGGATCCTTTTTTATAGATCCCAAGTAACAAGTTAATGCAACTTGCCGATTATTAACAGTGTGGATCAAACAATTTGCCTGTATTTTATTTAGTGGAAAAATAATTTCATAAGCTCTCCATCAGCAAGAGATCACTTTCCGTGAGTTTTCATCTTAGTAGCCATATTATCTATTAACCTAACAACCCGTTCTGTTTCAGGTGTTACATTTTTATAGAATTTAACCAAGAATTTCTAGAAAGTAACTTAAAGAGCAGAGCCAAATTCTCAGTAATGATAAACAGACAAGAGCATACCCAATGTATAGTTGAAAATTATGAATCGTGTTCCTTTAGTTTATCTATCATGGAAATCAAACATTCATCCAAACATTTATTAGACAATCAAAAGACGAGAACATCTGTTATACAATGAATGATTAATACCTCTGGAAATTCAAACAGCATCGACTTAGCATTTCATGTCTTAACCGCAACCATTCTTCACCAGAAGTTGGGCCTTTTTAAACTTCCTCTTTCTCCCATGAAGGGACTACTAATAATGAGTTATTCCCACCATTAGGGAAAAACAAAACATTTCCCATGGAAGGATCTTTAATATTTAGTTGTTCCCGCTCTGAGGGAAAAATAGAAAACATTGGAACTAAAGTTAAGCGAACAGACAACCCAATTCCAAGCTCTGGGCTTGCTGGCTTGTTCAGGCTGCAGCAGTGAGGCCCACCTGTCGATTCTCTGTAATTCAGATGCTGCCGCTCTGTGCTGGCAGTCAGATCTGTGAAAGAGCTCAGAGTTTTAGCTATCTTCAATTTCTTATATTGGAAAGAGCCTTTTCTTCCTCTATTTCTACTGGAAAGAGGCTTTTTTCTTTCCTTTATTTTTCTTTCACGGGGCCTTTTAATCTTTAGGACTAGTTTCAATATTTTTCCCCTTTTTACCCAGAAAATCTTTTTTTTTCTTGAGTAAACATTTCTCCCTTTTCCTTCGAGAAATTTCCTTTTATTTCCTTTCGTTCCCTCTGTGTACTATTGAGAAGATTTCCTTTTTTATTTTCTCTGCTTTCCCTTTTCTTTACTGGGAAGTTTCCTTTTTTTATTTTTTGCCTCGGGAGCTCTTGTATTTAATGTGCAGTTAACCTTTCAGCCTTTCTTCTAAATCTGTTTCATCTGAAGGAGGAGGAGGAGAGTCATCTCCAGTGTCCTGGCTTTCCTCAGTTTTATTGCCCTCTGAAACAGCCTTCCTATTGATCTGTGAAGGAACATTCTCCTCTGCTGACTGACAATTTCTAGCCTGAGTGTCTTCCCTTTTATTTTCCTGTTCTACTTAAGATACAGCTTTCAGCGATTCCTCACGCTGCAACAGCATTTGATATTAAATTACGTAAAGACCAAATTCTTAACGGTATGGGCTCTCCTTTCTGATGAGCTCCCCGCAAAGCTCTCAACACTTGCTTCCATACCTTCGGTTTCAATTGAACATGAGGAGTTGCCTGAAACCAATGGCAATGCCGTTTAATTAATACAAAAGCTCTGTAAGCTGTTTTTCCTTCACATCCACTCTGTTTACTTTTAACAGGCATTTTAATAACTGCATACACCATTGCTCCTGAGACAGGAAGTTTCCCATGACCCTGCCAATCCTGGAGTCCCCTTACCCTGAGGGCACTTCCTTCCAGTTCTTAAGATGGCTAGCTCCTCTGTCCTTCTTCAGCGGATCCTTTGTCCTTCTTCAAGCTTGGGGTTCAATGTTGGCAGCACGGGTGTGTGAGTTCACTCGGGTCCATTGGATGAAGAAGACTCAGAAGCACCTTAAGAATGAATCTAGCCTTTTGCGGCTACAGGGGGATCCAGCCTCTAAGGACTGAAGAGCTTTCCCTTCGCCCCAGGCATTTTTATTTTTCTCCATATTTACACTTTAGCCAGTTGATTTCCATATGTTCAAAACAACCTGAAAGAAGCTTCCAAAAATACAGTGCCAAATGCAAATTTCTTAATTCATCGGGTACCACAGTTTTCCGGGTTTCCAAACCAAGTTTTGCATAGACTTTGTATCCTTGGGAAACTCTCAGACAAGATTCACATAAAGCTACAAGAGAAACAAAGGGTAGCTGCTGAACAAAAGATGGATTAGGGCTAGGTGCTACTCTCTGGAGCCAGCCCAGGAGTAGCCAGCCCATGGGGAATGCTGCTGCAGCTGGGAGAGACCTCTCTGTACTGTGGCCTGTGTGAGACTGCGAGAATTAGCCATGCTGCTGCTCCAGCCTGCCTGCAGCAGCCAGGGGACGAGTCTCTACACCACAGCCCGCATAAGAGACATGAACCATGAAGCTGCTGTCAGCTCCGTTTTTATGTGTCTAGAACCCTTTTTTTAAGCTTTTTTTTTTTATGTGGATGTACATGCCGCACTTTTGGGCCGCTATGTGTAATTGGATATTTCCTGTCCCGACCACCTGGTCCCCAAATAGCCAACTCAGAGGCTGAATATGAATTATACATGCTCGACCAATAGCTCAGGCTTGTTATTAGCTAACTCTTACATTTAAATTAACTCATATTTCTATTTATGCTTTGTCACGTGTCTCGTGGCTTGTTATCTCATTTTCTACGCATCCTGCTTGCCCTGCAGCTGGCTGGCATCTCTCCTGACTCTGCCCTTCCTCTTCCCAGAATTCCCCTAGTCTGGCTCTCAAGCTGAATCTCTTCCTGCCCAGCTATCACCCAGTCAGCCTTTTATTAACAATGAGCATAATCCACAGCAGTCAGTCCGTGTCATTTTCGTCAGTCCGTGTCATTTTCCCCAGTGGCAGTCGTAAGCTGTGAACCTTTCCTTCCTGAGACGGAGCTGGTCTGCACAGTTGACGTGGGGTTACTTGTTGGCTCATGGTGAGCACTCTGTAGGGCGTCGGGCCGGCTCTTCCCTCACCCGGTGTCTTTGTCTTTGTCACACAGAAAAGGAACCTCTTGTTGGCGTTTGAAGCCGCTGAGAGTGTAGGCGTCAAACCCAGCCTGGTAAGTGTCCTATTTTGTGTCCTTTTGATGTTTTTCCTACTGCATGAGAAAGAACTTCCTGCTACCCACTGAGTAACCAATAAAGAATGCTCAGATCCATTTGCTGATCTGTTACTCGGGATTCCTAATATAAAGTGATCCAGTTGAAAAGGATGTAGACTCGGGGGTTTTTTGTTTGTTTGTTTCTAGTTGTTGTTGTTGTTGTTATTATTATTATTATTATCATCATCATTATTTTATGTTTGTGGGTGTTTTGCTTACATGTGTTCCGTGTATGCCATGTGTGCCTGGTGCCTCTATAGGCCAAAAGAGGATGCCGGATCCCCTGAAACTAGAGTTAGAGATGACTGTGAGCCGCCAAGTGGGCTCTGGGAATCAAACCCAGGTCCTTTGGAAGAGCAGCCAGTTCTCTTAACTGCTAAGCCATCTCTCTAGCTCTAGACTCAGAGTCCTTAAAATTAAGATTTCATTATGAATAAATTTCAGTTCTGGCAAAACAGTGAGCTAGATTATTATTAAAATTCTCTTGTTTGTATCACCAAGAAATCTCAGTGAAATGTCTTTAAAAGAAAATGACACCAAGGTGTTGTGGTGCACATCTTTAGTCCCAACACTTGGGAGGCAGAGACAGGCAGATCTCTATGAGTTCAACACCAGCCTGGTCTGCATAGTGAATTCCAGGACAGCTAAGGCTATGTAGTGAGACTCTATCTCAAAAACAATAAAATAAAAATAAAAAAGTATCAAATTTTGGGCCAGTGGGACCAGGAAAAAGTACTTACCTCCAAGGCTGATGACTTGAATTCAGTCTGTGGTTCTCACATGTTGGAAGGAGAGAACCAAGTTCCAAAAGTTGTCTTCTGACCTCTCCTTAAGTGCCTGGGCTGTACGTACATATACATACTGAATAAAATAAATGTAAAATGTAATAATGTTTTTCAAAAGCAAAAAGAAAATATCAAGTATAACTGAGCTCTCAAGAAAGTATAAAAAAGAGCTGCATAGTGGTTGTGCATGCCTTTAATCTCGGCACTCAGGAGGCAAAGGCAGGTGGATCTCTGAGTTCAAGGCCAGCCTGGTTTATATGGTGAGTTCCAGGACAGTCTCCAAAAATTAAAATTAAAATTAAAATTAAAAAATATGTATATGTATGTATATATATATATATATGTACATATCAGAAATTTAAAACAAAGTGAAAAGCGAAGCTGTGAGCTATGAGTCAGATGTTGTGAAAACTCCACCTGCTCCTGGAGAGGTGATGAGGTTTGTCTCTGCCTTGTGGGGTGGGATGGGGTACAAAGACCAGATGAGGTTTGGAATCCAGATTTCTATCTGGAGCACCTAGTTAAAACTCTGCAATGCAGGAAGCGCCTGTCATTTAATGACTTCTGAAATATGCACAAGCCAAAATTACAGAGCAGACAAGAAAAGGATTGACTTGAGCCAGCCAGCAGGTCCACCCAGTGAGAGAGAGGATTACCTGCCAGAACGGGGGAACAGATATTAACTGTTTAACTCTGTCAGGGAGGTAAGGGACACTGGAGAGATGGCTCGGGGTGAAGTGCCTGCTGGGCGAGCATGATGACCAGTGTTGAGATCTACAGACTGTATGAAAAAGCCAAGTGTGTAATCCCAGCACCAGAGGGTCTTGCTGGCCCGTGAGCTCCTGTCAGCCTGAGGGTACCTGTCGCAAAAAGTCGAGAGGGACTGAGGAAGACGCTGGATGCTGACTTTTGACCTCAGCACACCTATGCACCCCCACACAGCACATGCACACATGCTAAAATGTTTAAGAGAACATATGTGGTGGCACATATCTAACCCTAGTTTCCAGGAGCTGAGGCTTAGCTTGACTCTTGAGGTCAAGCCCAGCCTGGACAACATAGTGAGACTCCCTCCAGCTCTGAAAAAACGAGAGAGAGAGAGAGAGAGAGAGAGAGAGAGAGAGAGAGAGAGAGAGAGAGAGAGAGAACAAAAAAGACAAAAAGAGGAACAGAAGAGGAACAGAAACCAGGGAGGGACATAGTGCTATAAATATAAAGAGAGGGAGATTCATAAGGACTCAAGCCTGTTACTGAAGTTGTCAGAACCAGAGCCTTGGCCCTCCTAACCCTAATATGCTAAGCTTGACTAACCTTGGGAAGCCAATTCAACAGATAACTAATCGTGAAAGCAGGGAGAGGGGAGTTGTACAGTGTGGCCATACTAGGAACATAGAGGCCCAGTGACCCCTACACAAACACTCCCAGTCCATCTTTAAGGCCCTGACAAGAGGCTTAGACTTAAACAGGGCAAGAGATGTGTAATTAAGCATTCCTGCCCATCGGTACCCATCATTGTCCAGTCTCAGGTCTCCCCGGCCAGGTGGTCTCACAAGTTGACAGAACTGTATGAATAGTTCACTGAGACAAGCCAGATCCTTCTCTTGTCCCAGCAAGAGATTCCTGGAGAAATTACAAGTCCATGGGGACCAATGTTTAAAGAGGCCAATCTCCAAAGGGACCGGCACAAGTATCTTTTTAGAATGTTTTTGTGCCACCAGGACGGTTACAAAACTACTAGAAATGAAATTTTGGAATAAGAAAACACAATGGATGGGTTGCCAGACTGGTTAGATACAGCAAGCGAGAATGATGGTGGACAGAAAGCGAACATCAGGAAGCCACCCCACAGGCTGAATAGACAGCGAAGGCTGGAAGAACCGTGAGACCCTTTACTGGTTAATATGTAGTTAGTCTCTAGAGTGGAAAAGCCAATGAACACAGTAGGTTGGAGGACACTGTAGGTCACATGAAACCCTGCCTCCAACATATACATAAATAAATAAATTAATAAATAATAATAATAATAAATAAATAAATAAATATTATGGAGTGGACAAAAGAGACAATACCGAGTGATAACCAACCTGGAGTCAGCTTTTGGGTTTCTTATTTACAACAACAAAAATCTGATTTAAGCCACTGTTAATTGGCTTTCCCATTCTTGAAACTTCTTACATAATCTTTCAATAGAACTTGACCAAAGGTTATTAATTACTGTTGTTACTTCTGGTTGGGTATAGTTAAAAAGTGCCACGTGTAACCCAATGTATTACATATGTGGTGTGGTGTGTGTGTGTGTGTGTGTAAAACACAAAGCTGGCTTTGATATCACTATTTAGTTGAGAATGACCTTGAACTTCTGATCCTCCTGCCTCAGCCTCCCAAATGCTGTGTTTAGAGGCATGCACCACCACTATGCTTGGCCAAAATTGTTTTTTGTTGTTTTTTTTTCTTTTTTTTTTGTTTTTTGAGACAGGGTTTCTCTGTGTAGCTTTGCGCCTTTCCTGAATCTCGCTCTGTAGCCCAGGCTGGCCTCGAACTCACAAAGATCCGCCTGCCTCTGCCTCCGAGTGCTGGGATTAAAGACGTGCGACACCACCGCCCGGCGTTTTTGGTTGTTTTAATCCATATACAGTCAGGAAGAAGAAGGAACTGTCAGGAAAACACAAACTGAAGTAGCAGTGAGTTGTAAGTCCATAGCCTTCCAAGGATGGAGGAGTTGGAGAAATGAAAAGTGAAAGAGCTGTGGAGAAAGCCGTGCTCTGAACGGCGATAGCATGCTGATGTGAATTTGAAACAGAATGGACAGTTCTGTAGAAATACCAAAATCCTCCATATGTCACATGTAACCATTTTCTCTAGACCTTACTCAGAAAATAGAACACTAAACGTTTAAAAAATAAAATCGAGCTGGAGAGAAGGCTTCGTACTACTCTTGCTGAGGACCAGAGTTCAGTTCTCAGCACCTGTGTTGGGCAGCTCACAACTGTCTGTAACTTCAGTTCCAGGGAGTCTGACACCCCTTTAATGGCCTCTGCGGTCACTGCACTCTTGTGCAGAAACTCACATTCAAACACACACATGTACACATAATTAAAAATAATAAAAACACGTCTTAAGTTTCTGTGTATCCATATCTATGTAAGCATGTACACATTTTGGGAGTAAACAGAGAAGCAAGGGAGATTACTTCAAAGTGAAGCTCTGTAGTGTACCCTGAACTTTAGAACACATTCCTGCTCAGCCACCAATCACAATCCACACAGAAAGAATTGGGCAAACGTTCGTGGCATCATTGTTACTGCTTCAGAGCCACTGTGGTATGTCCTCCAGGACTAACTGTCTGTGGCTTGGTGAGGGCTCACCGTGGCCATTTTGTCCATGACATGCTTGCTTACTCAGGGCATGTACAGGACAGTCACTGCACAGGACTGAACTCTCAAAAGCCTTACCCACTGTCTTTCTGAACATTTGAGAGTCCGGTAAGTGAGGTCAGTTACTTTTTATAAGTTTTACCGTCTGAATCATTTTAAGTGGGGTGAAGTACCTTCACAATGTGGTGCAATCATTGCCGCCCTCCCCACGTAGAATTCTTAACTTGCAAAATCGAAACTCTGAGTCTGTTAAACATTAACTCCCTACCTCCACCCTCAGCCTGGCAGCCACTGTTCTCAGACACACCTAGTTCAGACACTCCGTGTAAGTGTACTTGCTCCACCATATCCGTCTCATGTATGCCTTATGTGACGTAGTATAAGGTCCTCAAAGTTCATCTGTTAGAATTCCCTTCCTTTTTAAGGTGAGTGGTGTGGTTATACCACATTCTGCTCATCCGTTCATCCGTTACTGAACATTAGGGTACCATCGTAGTTTAGCTCTTCTCAGCAAACGCTGCTGTGAGCCTGGATGCACAAGTCCCTTCTCTTTTTATTACAAAAGGCCCTTAGCACAGTGCCAGGTCATACACTGTTAGTAGCAAGTATGTGCTAGGAAGTGAATAAAACAGGAAACTATAGTACACACAATAGCCACGTATGTACCGGATGCCCATAGAGGCCAGAAGATGGCATCACATCCCCTGGAACTAGAGTCACAGGCAATTTGGGTGCTGGGAACATCACCCAGGACCTCTGGAAGAGCAACCAGTCCTCATGACGACTGAGCCATCTCTCCAGCATCAGGGTACTAAAGAAATTCTTATCTAGTATTTTCAAAGTCAAGTTCATTTTCATTCTGTCTGGGGAATTTTTGTGGTCCATTGTATGTGTTCTATCTGCTGCATCCCATTAATTAGGTGCTCAACCCATAGTAATCCATCCCTACGTTAGTCACACCAAACCACATGGGAGAAGCATCTCTTTGCTTCTGAGTTGACAACCAGTTGCAAAGGGTTCTTATTCTGTGGATCTACAGCTGTCCAGCACACAGGTGCAGGAATGTCACTGAATTCCCCTCCCTTTGAGTGACTAGGATTAACCAGTGCCTTTAGCCAAAAGCCACCCCCCACCCCACCCCACCCCCATGAGAAAGGCCTGCCTTAGCATTAAGTAGGGGAAGAAGATATCTTCTAGATTTAATGCTACCTGGAGCTCCTTTTATCTCCTGTTCAAAAAGTACCTGCATCCACACTCGTGGAGGACAGGCATAAATGCGGGCAGGACACCATAAAATGAAATTTAAAAGAAAAACCAAAAACACCTCCCGTTTCCTCTTGTCAGGAACTGCCTTGTGGGCCAGCAAGATGGCTCGGTAGGTAAAGGTTCTTGCCACCAAGCCTGGTGATCTGAGTTCAGTCACTGCGATCCACATGATGTAAGGGAAGAACTGACTCCTGCAAGTTGTTCTCTGACCTCCACAGGTGTGCCATGACATGCACATGTAACACACACACACACACACACACACACACACACACACACACTCATACACACACTGGGTGAATGAATATTTTCTGGTGGAATCACAGCAATTATTCATAAATGGTATGACCATTTTATTAGAGTGCTTTTAAGGTAAGAGTGTTTTGACACTTGCCTGTAGTAATGTCATTGTCGTTGTTTGGGTTTAGCTATTCTTGTAGCACCTGTCTCCTTGTTGTGTCTTGTTTTGATTAGTTTTGTTGTGGGAGTGGGTCTTTGAGACAGAGCTTCCCTGCATCCTCAAGGCTGGCCGTGACTCCTGATGCTCCTGTCTCACTCTCCAGAGAGCTGAGATCAAAGTGCATGGCCACACCCCTCACTAGATTTAATGTGAGTTTCTCTGCTGGAAAACTGTGCTGAGCTCTGATTTGTTCACAGTTTTTTGTTGGCCACTTGTCTTCCTTGGTGTGGTGTCTTTGCCCCTCTCTAAATCTGTTTTCTTATTGTTGGTTTGTAAAAGATACACATGCATACGCGCGCACATAGACACACACACACATACACACACACACACACACACACACACACACACACACACACACATGCTGGAAACAAGTCCTTATCATACTTGATCTTCAGATATTTTCTCCCAGTCTGAGAGTTATCTTTTCATTCTCTTAACAGTATCTTTCTCAGCAAAGGTTTTAATTTTGATCCAGTTTAATAATTCATTTTCTTTCAAGGTCCATGTTTTGATATAGTTCAAATCTCATCACCCAACCCAAGGTTACCAACTCAGATTTGCTCTTGTATTCTTTCTAGAGCTCTCAAAAGCTTTCGTTGTGGTCTCTGATCTGCTTTGGTGTGAGCTGTGACATATGCATTACTTGCTTGTTCGCCTTTGTTCTACGTAGGGCCGTCCAGTGCAGTACCAGGTACTGAGGAGAGCATCCTTACCTCTCCCTTCCCAGAGCTGAAATCTTGCCCCTTCATTGTTCTTCTAGACTGTTTTGCTGCTTTTTTGCATTAATAAATTTTATTTTTTTTTAGATTTATTTATTAAGATTTATTTATTATGCATACAGTGCTCTGCCTGCATGTATCCTTGCAGGCCAGAAGAGGGCACCAGATCTCATTATAGATGGTTGTGAGCCACCATGTGGTTGCTGGGAATTGAACTCAGGACCTCTGGAAGAACAGCCAGTGCTCTTAACCTCTGAGCCATCTTTCCAGCCCCTGCATTAATAAATTTTAGAGCCATTTGTCAATACCTACCAAAAATTAAAGTTTTCTGGGATTGCTGGGCAGTGGTGGTACACACCTTTAATCCCAGCACTCAGGAGGATCTCTGTGAGTTTGAGGCCAGCATGGTCTATAGAGTGAGTTCCAATGCAGCAAGGGCTACACAGAGAAAAACCCTGTCTCGAAAAACAAAACAAAAAACAAACAAAAAAAAAGATTTTCTGGGATTTTGATTGGGATTATATTATATCTATATATCAAACTTGGAATAATTAATCTTAACAATATTATGTTTTAACTCAAATATATAATACATGTCTACTCATTTAGGTATTTGCTTTCTGTCATGATTTATAGTTTTCTGCAGATAGAATTGTACATATTATGTTAGATTTGGACTTTAAAAGTAGGGAGTGGGAGGTGGAGAGATGGCTCAGTGATTAAAAGCACTGGCTGCCCTTCCAGAGGACTCAGGTTTGGCTCCTAGCACTCACAAGGCAGCTCACAATGGCCTGGAACTCCAGTTCCAGAGGATCCAGTGCCCTCATCTTGGGTACCAGGCATACATGTGGTACATACCCATATATGCAGGGAAAACACTCACACACATAAAATTAAAACTAAACAAACTTGGGAGGGGGGGTAAGTACTATTTTTTTCTAGTTAAAGATCCCTGCTTTTCGTTTCTGGCATACAGGAAAGTGACTGAGGTCTGTGGGACTGTGTAGTGGAACTTTGCTAACCCTGTGTGCAGGCTTGCTTTTCAACCTCTACAACATCTGCAAAAAACAGTTTTATTGTTTCCTTGGTAATCTGTATGCCTTTTTATTTCTTTTTCATGCCTTATTAGCTAAAGTTTCAACTACTGTGTTAAACAGGACAAGAAAGAGAGTCCATCTTTGTCTCAGTCTTGATTTGAGGGGGAAAACATTATCTTATACAGTTAAGTATGGTGCCCGCTGTTGGGTTTGGGGGGGCAGTACATACCCTTTAGTGTGTAAAATAAGTTAACTTCTGTTTTGCTTTTTGAGAGGTTTTTTTAAATCATGAATAGATTCTGAAGTTTGTTGAACATATTTTTTTCTCAGTCTGTTAATATGTTAATATTGATTTAAAAGCATTGAGCCAGCTTCACATTCCTTGGATGAGCCTCCTTTGATCATGATACTTTATAGATTAATGAATTCAGTTTACTAATATTTTTTCCAATCTGCTAGCAGTTTTGTGTCTGTTTATCTGAGAAACTGACTCACAGTTTTCTCGAAGTGTCTTTGACTACCTCAGGTTGTAGACTAATCTGGCTTCACAGGATGAGTTGTGAAATATTCTCTCATCTTCCATTTTTGGAAACTGAATAACTAGTATTAGATCTCCTATATGTGTTTGGTGGAATCATATGAGCCTGGGTTTGGGCTGTTAACTGTTAATTAAAGCAAATCTCATGTGTGGTGAAATTATTACTAAGACAACCTCCCTCCCGCCTAAAATGTGCAAAACATTTCTCCAAAAATTTTCAGATGTGATGTTAATTATGTCACAAAATATTTTTGATTCAGTAACTGCTAGTGTGAAATGGTCTGAGTTAAACTGTGACTAGTAACTGCACTTTCAAATCATCTGAAACTACAGACCGCCTCCTCTACAGAAAGGAAAGATTTCTGTCTCTCCTGAGTTCATAGCCATGCCTTCTCAGAGCTCATCTGCCTCTAAATCAACACTGTCAGATTTTTTTTTCCCTATCTCTGGTTCTCCTGGAACTCACTCTGTAGACCAGGCTAGCTTCGAACTCAGAGATCCGCCTGCCTCTGCCCCCCTGTGTGCTCAGTCAGTCTTTATTACAGTCTGTGCTGTAGTCAGCAGCCCTTGCTCTAAGACTTCATTTTTTTTCCTTCAAAAAATTTTCTGGGCAGAACTGTGTGGAAGGTTCCTCTTGTGTCCTAAGTGCCCTTGCTGGTGGATTATGATATGCTGGTCATTTTAGCGTGACCAGGGAGCAGAGCAGGAGAGAAGTGTTCACTTGGCGGCCAGTTGGCGGCTACCCAGGAGCAGATATGCGTTCCTCAGCCGCTTTTCCCTCTGCACCTCTGCTCCTGGCTGTTGTTCTGTTACAGCCACAAAAGACTCCACATCCGATCCCAGTTAATAATTAAACGTGTTCTAAAGAGCTTGGTGAGTAGCCTGCCAGGCACCTAGTCCTCTTCACCTGTCTTCTCGCCGTTTGGCCTTGCCCTTACACGTGCTTGTTAAGCAAACTTCCTTGCAAAATTAGCCCCCAAAACTAGTAAATTAATAAAACTAAATAAAGAGCCAAAAAAAAATTCACTCAACTAAAGGGGAAGAAAGAAAGAAAGAAAGAAAGAAAGAAAGAAAGAAAGAAAGAAAGAAAGAAAGAAAGAAAGAAAGAAAGAAAGAAAGAAAGAAAGAAAGAAAGGAAAGCCCAGCCACTAAGTGGTGATAACACTAGTAAAGCATGTGGTTTGAATTGGCTCAAGGCATCTCTGGTAACCCCATGACTAGCTCTCGAGGAACTGATTTGACAGAAAGAGATAAGACTACCCAGTGCAAAGTGCAATGCGTGGAAACGAAGGAAACTGGAGATAGCACACACCCACTGAAGCACAGTGGTGTGAGAAAGCATACACAAGCATGTCCATTGGGAAGACGCAGAGTGTGGGAAAACATGTCCACTGTGGTGGGAGCCTAGGAAACTAGACTTAGGTTCATATGCGCATTAGAAAACTAGAAACCATTTTCTAACGTGGAAGTTCGGGGGACTGTAAAACGCTGTAATGGTGTTTAAAGATGAAAGCAACAGGAAGTCATGTCTTTGGTCTTTGAAAGAGGCATATCTCCCCGGTAAAGCTGCCGAAAAGCCTAGCTCAGCACTTCAGCGTGGTCTGTGTTTGCCTACGCTTTGGTTCCTGTCAGCGGAAGGTTTCCAGTCAATACCAGTCCTGACCTGGATCAGAGTCACTTGGTAAAAAGGGGTCTGAGGTGTCCTCTTGTACTGTTGCCTTTCCCCTGCAGGAGCTCAGTGAGATGCTGTACACGGACCGGCCTGACTGGCAGAGCGTGATGCAGTATGTGGCCCAGATCTACAAGTACTTTGAGACATAAACAGAAGACCCAGCAACAGCCGCTGCCTCTTGGCCTGAAGTTAGTCCTGAAAGCACCTGCTCACTGCCCACCATACCTGCTGTGCCCACCACCTAGCCGTCTGGATTTCCAAGGAAGGCTTAAGCCAAGTGGACCAGCACTCTGTGGGGAAGCAGAGCTGGCTCCATCTCAGATGCAAACGTGTCTGGAGCCCATGCTCAGGAATCCTTGTTCCCAATGGGAAGTTTCTAGAGAGGCAGGCCTGGCTTCTCACACACTGGGTCCCAAACCCAGGCCCTCTTCTGTGAGATTCCCAAGTGTTGCCAGTCCCGTTTGCTGCCCACACGTGGCCTACACACTGACAAACAGCCCTTCAATCACCGTGTCTTTTCTTCTCCTCCTCCTTCCTCCTTCACTAAAACCGCTCTAGCTTTGCTTTATTCAAAACTTTGTCCTTACCAGCTGCTTACCCCCCAAATAAAAGAACAACCCTACAAAACACAAAAACAAAAGCAGCTTTTGCTTCTTAGCAACCTGGAAACACACTGATTAGGGAAATAGTATGCTCGCTCGGTTCTGTATAACCGAGGGCTGATAACACTGCATATAGATCTCGCTGTTCCTATTAGATTCCTCACAAGTGCAAAGGGACACTTAGGTACCTTGCTGAGGGCCCACGGGAGGCCAGCTGGCATGCTCATTAACCACACAGCCTGAGTGCCGCGCTGGTGTCCTGGCTGATGAGAACTGTGACCGTTGTCCACGGCACCTTCTGCCCTGCTGTTTACTGACAGTCCCGTTCGCACACATGTCTGCCGAACACATAGAACTCAACACAAGTCTCGTGTGCGAAGCAGCCTGTGATGGCGAGCTCCCTGTACATTTGCACAGTTCCGCAGGCTGAGAGGTGTGCCCCTTGGGATCCTGGGTGGACAAGAAATGTAAACCACGTTTTGGCTCCAAACAGGCTTGGCCCTTGGCACTTGTTGGGCCTTTTACATTTGCCTAATGAAAGCAGCTGTTAGGAGTGGTGATGTCCCCTAAAATCCCCCTGGTTCCCTAAGTGCTCAAGCCAGGTGGCTCTAGACAGTGGTTCCCAACCTTCCTAATGCTAGGAGTTCCTCATGTTGTAGTGACCCCCAACCATAAAATTATGTCATTGCTACTTCATAACTGTAATGTTGCTACCGTTATGAATATAATGTAAATATATGGTATGCAGAATATCTGATATGCGACCCCCAAAGGGGTCCCAACCCACAGGCTGAGACCACTGCTCTAGAAGCTTTTTGCTATTTTTCTTGGACAAACAAATGTGCACTTCACAGCAAATGAGGGTGCCCCTCTCTCAGAGAGTTGGATATGCACAAACACCCATTCCTATTCTAAGTGCCAAATAGCCCTGAACTGGTCCTTGGACAAAGGACCATATGCTCACAGCAACCCCTGAGAATGACCGCCATAGTTAGGGTGAATCTGCCTGCTTGTCTGAGCCAGTCTGCTGGCCCAGCCCTATCCTTGGAGGATCTGGGTTCTGCCCCTCCCTCCAGTCCATCCCTCTGGTGGGTAGCAGCTGGGTACAGCAGCTTGATTCTCAAGCTAATGTAGCTTCATGGGGCCACAGACTCCACCTTCAGGCTCTATCTGAAGTTCTTGGCTGTGGCTCCATACGGATCCCCTGGAACTCCTCCAGGAACTGCATGCCTGACCCTCGGATCAGGTGAGTTAGAATAACTGGAACGGGGCAGAGATGGAGTCTGCACATGCTCACAGTTCTCCAGAACTGATGGGCAGCCCTGCAGAGGGCTACGACGCTATTCCCCGCCCCTCGTTCTCCCCACAGGAGCTGCTGGTCCCTTCATCTCCAAGTGGAAGTTGAGGCCTCAGAACCTCCTTGCTGATGAATGGGTCCCTCTCAAGGCTGCTGCTTGGGCTGCCTCCCATACCCATGTGTTGACATAATTGATGATGTGCCCCCCCCATCCCCACTGTCTCCATGGGTCTGCTTTGCCCAGCCATCATAGCGGGGTGGGGTGGGGGGAGTGCTGCCCACACAGCTGGGTGTTGTTTCTTCAGGGGTAATCTCTGGAGTTGTGTAGGAAAGGCCACAGTGAAGGCATGTGAGTTTAGTCTGTCCCTGGCTGTTCTCAGGGTGCTGTCTAAGAACCTGGAGCTCTTGACAGAGCAGTCCCCATGCTGGTCTCCAGACACCTCACAGTATCTGTAAGTAGAGGCACTTTGGGGCCCTAGGTCGCTGAAGACCAGCCAGCAGAGGACCAGCCAGCCACATCTGTTCTTGTCTGTGTTCTCTTTGGGGCTTCCCCTGACTGCTGCCGTTCTTGCCAGGGGGCATAGAAGAGGGATGGCATGCCCTCTCAATAGAAGCAGCTATTGCTGGTGGTTGGGGGGCAAGGCAGAGGGCATGCATGCCTGACAGAGTTCCAGCTCTCTGCCAAGGTGCCATACTACTGCATGTGGAGGCGCAGGGCCTGGGAAGAGCTCCAGGGAATAGAAATGAATATGGAAAACTGACCAGCTAAGAACAGAAGCATTGGGGGAGGGGGGTGCCTTACTTTTTCTTGGTTTTGTTTTATGTTTTGTTTTGGGTTTTGGTTTTGTTGTTTGTTTGTTTTGCTTTGTTTTGAGTTTTGTGAAACAGGATCTCATGTAGCCCAGGCTGGCCTTGAACTCTTGGTCTTGCTGCCTCTGCCTCCTGGGTGCTGAGATTAGATTCCATACCCAGCTTTGGTGCTTTGTTCTTGCTGTGTTCTTTTGCTTCTCTGCAAACCATCCTTCAGAGGCCATCAGAGGCCTCCATAGCCATGTTTCTTTCCATCTGCCCTCAGCTAAGCACAAAGAGAACTGCAAAATGCAAGATCCTGGGAAGCTCAGGCGTGTTGAGAAGTCTGTGGTTCTCTGCACTAAGTGGTGTCTGAACTGTTGGTGGGTGGCAGTGCTGAGGCCATTTCCCACAGTGACAGTATCCCAAGGAATGTCCCTCTTCCTAGTCCCCTCTCACTTCAGCAGCCACGCTTTCCTTAGTTCTCATTCTTCATCCAGTTGTTCCTCAGCTTTTGTAGACCATCCAGAATACAAGCCATGGCTAGAAGACAGAAACTCATGTCCTGCCTAGCACAGGGCCACCGCCCGTGGCTTCAGCTATCCTGGAGATGGAGACAGGAGAATCAGTTGAGCCTGAGAATTTGGGACCAGTCTGGGTAGAAGAGACCCTGAGAGGGTGGGGGGCTGTCCCAAAGAAATCAGCCATCTAGCAATAATGAATATTGGCCATATTCTCTTCCTATCTCTCACGAGCACCAGCCACATGCTGGTCTCTGACCTGTTTCTCTCCTGCAACTTGTCACTGGCCGATGGAAATGGAGAACTGAGACCTTTAGGGACAGACCCACTCACCAAATCCATCAGTTCCTAACTATTCCAGTGTGAGATGTCCTGCCACTGGCATCTGAGAGCACCCCCAGGCAATGGAAGAGAAGTGTCTCCAGCATCTGCTGAAGCCCCTGGACGTCTGGGTCCTCTGACCGACGCTGGAACACCCTGAGTAGCTCACTGACTTTAACCACAGTAGTTGAATGCACTCGATCCATGTGTGGCCTCCTCTCCCTCAAGAGCACCCAAATAGTGCCAAGCACTGCCCAGATGTGACATGCCGTCAGAGGTGGACAGGGCTCCTAAGTGTAAGGTGTGCCACTATGTAACATTTCTAATAAATATATTTTGTTTCTATCTCAGTTTGATTCTTTCACCCAGTGACATTTATCAGCATTTTTTCAAAGCACCAAACTTGCCTTGAGTTTGCTTAAAGCGATCTCCCTGCATGTTCTTGTCCCTTCACAGTCCCCACTGCAGCTGCTTTACAGGTGGCACCTCTGACCTTCCCATCCGCAGCTGTCTTGCTGTGGCTGCAGGATGTGGATCACCTTCCAGCACCCGTGGATCACCTTCCAGCACCTGGATGCTGCCAAGCTGAACAAACGTGCGTAAGATGGGAAGTGGACTGCCTGGACCCTGGAAACTACACACAGTGTTCTTAAAAGTTATGACAAGATTGAAGAGACAGGCAATTAAAAATGTGGCTAGCAGAGCAGGCCAGTGTCTCTAAGCATCACCTGGAAGCCACCATTCATAGGCTGGTCAGGCCACAGAAGAGGAGGGCCACCCTAAAATCTTTATCGCTCTTTCCTCTCAAGTGCCTGGTCTTCTCCTGAGGGCCTGTACAGCTTCTCAGGGTGATGGTCACTGATAAGACTTATCAAACACTGAGTCAGCTCAGGGGCTACCACTTCCCTCTCGGTCTAAAGGGACAGGAAAAGTTGTGCCAGGAGATACCAGGTCTTGGTTACTCAACATCTGATTGCCCTGTACCATCTTGGCCTTGTACCGAGTGCCTTGGGCTGTATACGTGCGCGTATCCCCACTGGTTCATGCACAAGCAGAGTGAGCCTTTCACAGATGGCCTTTCACACTCTGCACTTGGGAATGATCTCCACATTTACTGATCTTTGAGGCTCATCAAACAGGTTCTGTCCTGTGGACTTGACTCTCTACATGAATGAAGCACCATCCATGGGCATTCTGTGATTGGGCACATGCACTTTACAGGTAGGGTAACCTGGGCCCAGATCCCCATACAGTTGTCTTAGGTAGTGTCTGTTGCCACCACACAGTACCACAGACTGGGTACTTTTATAAAGAATGGAGGTTTATTTAGTTCTCAGTTCTGAAGTCTGGACCCTCCAGGAGCCCAGCACTGGTGTCTGGTAAGGTATTCTTGCCACATTGTGACTTGGCAGAGGACACGAGGAGACAGAGTAAGCATGCTAGCCCTGGTCCCTAACTCTTTTGAAGTCACCAATGCCACCACGGGGAGCCTGACCCTCATGACTCAATCCCAGTTGCCTCCAAAAATAACACCTCCAAACCTGCTAATGCATGAACTTTGACCATTAAGTTTCTAACACGTGAACTTTGGGGAGATACATTCAAGACACAGCATCAATGGTAGGGAAAAGGCTCATGGGTTAGCTGAATTAAATGAATGATTAGCATGGGTTGCTATTCGTGGCCCTAAGCACAGAGCCCTGGGCCCCCAGCCACCTTCCCTCTGCTGGGTGAGAAGGGCTTTGCTCTTGGGCTGTGTAAACTTCAGTCTGAGCTCCTTAAGCGCCAAGTGCAGGTTTCTGTGCTCATGATGCCTGAACCTATGAAATAGTGGTTATACCGGTCACTTGATTAATTGGTCTAGCTGCCGGTTACTCACCCTCTGACTTGGAGGTCAGTTCCGGGAATGAATACCACAGCATCCAGCCTGTGGCCCTTCTTGTGAACAATCTGTTCCAGTATTTTCCAGCTTGATGATAAGTTGGGAAAGCCTTGGGGAGAAACTTGAAACCTGACCTCCCCAAGGCCTTCATCTTTCCTTTTTCCTTTAATAGTATTACGTCTGGTCTCATGAATGAAATGACTTAGTATATTCCCCTCAGAGCCTTGGAGTCTTCTGGGCTCTTTAAATGAATTCATTTTTAACTTGATTCACCTGCTTCAGTGAGTATTTTCTAGATCATGAAAAAAAAATTCCATGAATAGATGTATTTGCCTAGGACACTTTAGAAGGTTGGCCGCAGGCCTGTCAACACACGAATTCGTCCATCTGGGTTGCTATTTATATCCTCCTTAGTGTGGCCATTTCCCTTGTATCTGAAAAATGAGGCAAAACAGATAGCAGGACATGGGAAAAGTTTTCCTGTTCCATGTGATTTCAAAAGGCTTGGCCACTCTTCAAGAAGGCTGATCCTAGAAAACATCTGGCTGGAGAGGGACCTCATCCTGAGAAAGGCCAAGTCTCACCACCCAGAGCATCAGACCAGGAAACAGGGATGGCAACTCACAGTGACAAGGAGGATGTGTCTTCTCCAGCCTGGGGAAGCCTTGCAGACTCTCTGTGCCCACAAATCCAGCTGCTTTTGTTTAGGGGAGGGGGAAAAAGAGGCTTGTCTTTGGTCATCTGCCTTTTTTTTTTTTTTTTTTTTTTTTTTTTTTTGGTTTTTCGAGACAGGGTTTCTCTGTGTAGCTTTGCGCCTTTCCTGGAACTCGCTTTGGAGACCAGGCTGGCCTCGAACTCACAGAGATCCGCCTGCCTCTGCCTCCCGAGTGCTGGGATTAAAGGCGTGCGCCACCACCGCCCGGCTGGCCATCTGCCTTTATAGTCTGCAGCCATGTGCCCAAAGTGAGCACACGGTTGTTTTGTTCCCTACAGCAGTTGTGTGTGTAGCTAGGTGTCGGGTTACTCTGCCCTGAGTGTGATTTCAGTGTTTAGAGCTTTGGGGTGTAACAGGCTGTAACTGCAAACCAACTCCATCTAACATTCCGCCCATCCTGGAGAGCATATGGCTGTGATAGGACCGCTTGAAGGAATTTTACAGATGTTCAGCTTGAAGGAATTTTACAGATGTTCACAGTGGAATCTTTAACAAGAGAGGATGTCCAACTTCTGCCCTGACTTTGGATCCCACCTTCTTAGGGCCAAGTTCAGATCTTTGGAGTCCAAAGAACCACGCACTGTTTTTCCCACGGGCTGGAGTCCAAGGACCACGCCGCTGACATGGCTGGTGGGCTGTTGCTCTTAGTGTTTGTCGCTTGTTGCCGCTGTAACAAATTACTACAGACAACACGTCTGTTGTCTTACAGTTCTGGAGGTTAGGACACAACCTGAGCAGGACTTGCTGGGTGCCATACTTTGGGTCTTGAGTATTTCTCAAAGGTCAATGAGTTAAAGACTTGTTCAGCAACCTCTTTAAGAGGTGGAGCCTAGTGGGAAGAAGGTAGGTCCTTGGGGATGTGTCCTTCAGGAAGATACTAAGACCCTGGCCCCTTTTCTGTGCGTTTCCCAGATGCCGTGACGTGGGAAAGCCTCCTGTACCACACACTTTTGCCGTGGTGTGCCAGACCACCCCACCGCAAGGCCAAAGCAGCAGGGCCAAGTGACTGGACCAAAACCTGTGAAGCCTTTCTTCCCTTTAAGTTCATTTTTTCAAGTATTTTGTTACAGCCATGGGAAGCTGGAGCTCCAGTGGCCTCAGCAGGTAGGATAATATCCCCTCCTGGAGGCCCTGGGTGAGGATAGTTTCCTTGCCTTTCTTGGCCTCCCACATTCCTTAGCTCATGGCCTCTTCCTCTGTCTTAAAGCCAATGTGTGATGAAGCTTTTGGCCATCCCTTTCACCTGTCCAAACCAACCTTTTCATGGCATATTTTTAGTAGTTTAGAAAAATCTCACTGAAGAATATCACCAATTTGTTGTTGTTCATGGCTGCATCTTCCCCCTGGCCCTCTGCAGCTAAGGAAACTCTGATTTTAGAGTCACATAGGCAGATTGGGGCAATCATTAATATCATGCTATTAATGATTCTTCCCCTCTCACAACCCCTACTAACCTTAACCACATCTGCAGTCTCTCGCCACGTGAGGAACATCTGTGCCAGGCACCAGTGTGTGGCGGCTCTGCACACTACTGTCATTGTTTCTGTCTCCTCATTAACAATGGTAGAATCTCTATTTCCTAGTTATAGTCACCAGGGCATATTAGAGTTCTCTAGAAAAAGAGGACGGGGGGGGGGGGGGGATAGATGTGGAATGGGATTGATTTAAGGATCTGGTCCATGTGTTACAGAGGCTGACAAGTCCCACGCTGCCACCAGCCAGCTAGAGGCCGAGGAAGGCCTCTAAGTCAAGAGAGTGGTGCTGACTCTGGTCCATGACCTGGGAGCGCCAAGGGCAGGACAAGGATATCCCGGCTCAAGTGGTCAGCACAGAGAGATTCGGCCTTCCTGCCTTTTGGCACCATTTAGGCTCTTACCCACACTGGGCAGGCATCTGCTGTGCTCAGTCTACCAATCCAAACGCCCCTCTCTTCCAGAAATGCCCTCCTAGGCATACTCAGATATAATGCCTTACCATCATGGCCCGGTACAGTCGCTATGTAGAGTTAGCCACCACCCAAGCAGAAGAGCCAGGCTGGTCCACTGTCAGGCCTCCCCATCCTTCCGATGCCTACAGTGTTTCCCTCGGAGAGCTTTCCTCAGCTCAGCAGCCAGCTGCTGGGTGCCGTTTCCCCTGGGCCACGTGCCTAGCCCTGACCAAACAGCTGGAGTAGGATAAACGTGGCCTCCTTAAGAATAAGCCATGTTCTCGCATCCTAGAACTGTCTCCCTCCAAAGGCACTGCTGCATGCTGATGCATTTCCTAGGTTGGGATTCAGCCTCCTCAACAACCTACCCTCAGGGAACTGGAGCCCTGTGTAACTAGCTGCAAAACCAACACTGTGGGAGTCAGCAAGTGACTGCTTTGAATGGCTTGGGGCCCCAGTAAGCACGGTTGATACTAGACCATTGGACAAATGAGCTAACAGAGGCCTACAAAGGTTAAATAATTTGTTTACAGTAACGTAGCGTGGAGGAAGCGAAGCAGGAAGTTAAACCTAAGCCATCTGGTATCAAAACCTGCATCCCGGCCACCGCCATATTCCACCATCACAGGTGCCTGTGGTGAAGGAAGCCCGTACTGGAGGCAGCAGGTGCTCCTCAGGTGATGCCATGTGATGCCTTTACCACGTCTTCTGATTTGAAGACAACGGAATTCCTACCTTGTGGCAGCTAGAAACGAGTTCTCGCCTTAAGATCTCAGACGTTTCTTTAGCCAGGAGTCTGTGCAGAGATCTGATTTTCTAGT